CCCTTTTCCTGCCCCCGTAACCTTCAAGAGCCCAGGACTCTTGTGGCTGGCACAGCATCCTTGCCACAGGATGGCACAATAACTGGTTCTCCTCCTCCACTAAGATTTTACCCTCCGACCCAGCTTCGTCCTGGAATTCATGAACTAGTTTTCCATAGGAGACGTTGGAGCATGGCTTTGTTTCCTTAGTGATTGCTTTGGACCCACTTTCTGGTCCTCAGACATTGTCTGATCTAGTCACTTATGTATCATCCTTCCCTGTTGCCTTTCTATGCCTATGTTTTAGATAATTTCTGAGCCTCAAAGTTCAGGATGCGTTTTATCTCCAACAATGATACATCATAGAGTATCCAGGAAGTTCCAAATTTGAATCTTTCCCCTTGTCCTCACATTTTATCAAAATGTCCTAGAAATGCCCTTATTCCTATAAATATATGCTGAAAATAATTAAATTTTTAACCCTTTCAAGAAACATATATCACACACACACACACATGCATGTGCAATGTGAGCTGCAAAAAAAAACACCACTATCTATAGAAATCTCCTATTATCCCAAAGTGGCATGGATGCTACCAGCCATGCCGTAAGGTGCCTTCTGTCAGCCGTGCACCAGGGTTCATGGTAGAGCCTCCCCGTCCCCCTCTGCACACTGTGAGGAGCCTCGGGGAAGGGTCCTACAGAGAATGAACACTTCTGTACATCACTGCTTTGCTTTTGTTGTGCCTTGAAATGATTAGAACTGTGTTTGCAGTAACAATTTATATTAATACAAAGAGTACTCAGAATAATTTGAGTAGAAGGCAGAAGGATGAGAACTGAACATTGAGAAAGAATAAGAGAGAACAATGATGTTTTGAAAACAGTGTAAAGGTCAGGAGGGGAAAGTTGCTTGATGAAAATACATATTTTATTTTTTTTTAATATATTTTATTGATTTTTTACAGAGAGGAAGGGAGAGAGATAGAGAGTCAGAAACATCGATGAGAGAGAGACATCGATCAGCTGCCTCCTGCACATCTCCCACTGGGGATGTGCCCGCGACCCAAGTACATGCCCTTGACCGGAATCGAACCTGGGACCCTTCAGTCCACAGGCCGACGCTCTATCCACTGAGCCAAACCGGTTTCGGCCGGAAATACATATTTTAAAGTGACATTCCTCACTTAATATACTAGAACTGAATGTAATGATGAGAAGAACATTGGTTACACTTCACCTGTTCAGGGAAAGAAACACAAAGCAAGAAAAAAAAATGTTGTCAAGTAATGTGTCCCAGTTTTACTTTCAAAAAAGGAGGTCACTGTTACTACATGTGTATATCCACAGGCAAAGCACCATTGCTGGTAGTGTGGGGAATAAGTTGGACTTAAGGATCTTCTAGGTCATAAAACTAATACTATATGTTCCAGAAATGTCTAATATTTCTTCTTTCCTTTTCTTAAAAACAGGTATCCTCCAGTGTGATTCAACAACAATAAGAGAAGAAATACAGATATTTAGACTCTTTTGCCATGAGTGTCAAAGAGTCTTCCATGATCGCCTGATTAATAATGAAGACAAGCAGTATTTCCATTCTATTTTGACAGAAATGGCCAGTAAGTGTCAATCTTTATTTAGCTGCTCTCTTTTTTTTTTAGTAGAAAAGCAATTTGGTTTCTATAAAGGAAAATTAAAATGATCTTATATAGGGTAAAACAAAGTGAATTTTAGTCATTCCTAAGTAAGTTTTTTTTCAATGCCTCAAATATATAAAACTAGGGGCCCAGTGCACAAATTCATGCACCTTGAAAGGAACTGTGGGCCGCAAGGCTGCAGTGGGCACAGGGGCAGGTCTCGCCCCACCCTCCGTGCCCCCACTCTGCCTCTCCCACCATGGGCCCTGGTCCCCTGACTGCCAGCAGCCCCTCTCCAGCCACTGCTTCCATGTGCTGATGGCCCCGCCCCTCTTGCACCCACTGACAGTGTGGAGTGATTGGGGCTGGAGCCAGAAGCAGGTGTAAGTGGGGCCGTCAGTGGGTGCAAGTGGTTCTGCTGCCCCGATCATCCCTCAGGAGCAGGAAGAGGTGGAGAAGCCCTCAGGGGTGATCAGGGCTGGCAGCCACCACTCGCACCCACTGACGGCGCTGAGCGATCGGGACCTGCGCTGGGTGCTGGCAGCCAATGCGAGTAGGGGCTCTGGTGCTGGCTGCAGGTGCAAGCGGGGCTGTCGCCAGCAGTGGGTGCAAGCAGCAGCTGCTGGCCCAAATTGCCCGTCAGGAGCAGGGGGAGGTGGAGAAGCCCTCAGGGGTGATCAGGGCTGGCAGCCACTCCTCGCACCCGCTGACAGCGCTGAGCAACCGGGATCGGCACTGAGCTCCAGGCGCCAGCAGCTAGTGCGAGTAGCAGCTCCAGAGCTGACAGTGGGTATGAGCAGGACTGGCGCAAGTGCCAGGTGGGACCGTGACGCATGGGAACAAAGAATTTTCAGTAACCACAGAGGCTCACCCCAGTGACAGCAGCAGGCGCCTTGCCTTGGTCTGGCATCCCCCACTCACCTGCTCCACCATCCCACCATGGCTGATACCCAGCTTGTTCTGCGCTCTGCTGCCTGCTGCCAACACCTGCCATGTTCCACGTGCACCCCCTGGTGGTCAGCGCACATCATAGCGACCAGTTGTTCAGTTGTTCCACTGTTCAGTCTATTTGCATATTAGCCTTTTATTATATAGGATATATGAAATACTATACAATTCATTGTATTGAAATTCAAGAAGGTTTAATATATTAAATTAACTATAGAATTTTAAGTAGAGGAGAGAATTTAGAAGAAACATTTTGTCTGATAAGAAGCCAGGATATTTCTAAAATATGTCTTATGAATTTGTATTCAATATCTATTATTTAATAAAATGCTTATTAATATTTTATATTCTTAACCTTAAGCATGGGATATTATCAACCAAACTAAAGTGGTACAGTATTAACATGGCTTTCCCTCAGGTTCATTTATATTAATTAAGGCTTCTATGTAAATAGCTAATATTTTGATTTTGTGTTTTGAATAGACAAATATTTTGGAATTGCAATTGGCCTGGAATATTTTTTGACTAAGCCCATCCTATTTGGAGATTTCATTAAGGCAAGTATATTCTAATGACTTGGGACTACATCTGAAGATTATAATTATATAAGTGTTACAATTATAAACCTTATAATTTGAAAATTATAAAGTTCAGGTTCACATTCTACATGAACTTTACACCTGTGAAAATTAAAGACGTAGACTAGGGGTCAGCAAGCTATGGCCCATAGGCCCAATCAGCCTTCTGCCCATTTTTGTAAGTAAGTCCTATAGTAGTACAGCCACACAATTCCAGTTATACTATTTATGGGGTTACTTTTACATTACAAGGCAGAATAGTAACAGAGACTATATGGCCTGCAAAGCCTAAAATATTTACTATCTGGCCCTTTAGAGAAAAAGATTGCTGACTCCTGATCTAGTTACATTCATTTTGATAATAGTTTGAATCAGAGACCCATCAGGTATTTAATTGGTGAGGAGGTTTAGTCTCTTAACTCAGGACTGGACTCCCCCTGACTGCATGTACTTGTGCATTCTATGTTCAAATGCTTCCAGCTATGGGAAACTCACTGGTGAGCAGTGCTGCCCTCTTCATTTTAGAGGAGCTCTAATTCACAGCAAAATTTTCCTTGTATTAAGTTCCTCAAGTCTGTTGCCCCAACAGCATCCACATATGGGCCCTAATTTTTTTTTCTTTTTTTTTATTACTTAAAGTATTACAAAGGGTATTACATATGTGTCCATTTTTTCCACATATGGGCCCTAATTTTATCCTCTAGACCTGCCTAGAATAAGTCTTCCACCTAAGTACCCTGCCATTGTTGACAGACAGCTGTCTTGTTTTACAAGTTGACACTTTGGGTTCAACATTCTTAGTGTCTGTGAGAGAGAAAAGCCATACCTCCATTGTTCACCCTAAATCCTAGCATGGAGCTAGTCACTGCTGATTAAACAGGTGAATGAACTCGTCTTCGTATTATACGTACACAACCCCTCATCACTCTGATAACCCCTGACAAGTAAAAAGGAGAAACCATTGATTTGTATAAAATATATTTATTTAAATGTTACATTAAACACAAAGTCCAAAGTTTGTTTTCAAGTAGGGTTATATTTCCTTTGTGTTTCTAGTGATATTATTATCAAACTAGAGGCCTGATGCATGAAATTCTTGTAAGGGGCTTGGCCCTCACAGCCTCAGCTTCATCTGGAAAGTCATCTGGATGGTCATTCTGCTGTTTGGTCTAATTAGCATATTAGCTCTTTATTAGATAGGATGGGGGAATAAAGGAAAGGAAAAGAATAGTTGGACTCTTCTTGCATTACCTACGGGCATTTTAGTCAAAGTTACCAAATGAACATGCCCCCAGGGCAGTTGCTGAAGCAAATAAAAGACATCATCAATAGGTCCAAACAAGACCTCAGTTCCCTATTGTTTATACCACATTTCATCCTCAATGATTTATTCATTGGGTAGCCGCTGTGTAGAATCTACATGTAGTTCTGGCATGATTATATAACCATAACAGTCTGCCAGGCATCATTTTCAACTCATTTAGTTTTTCTGAAGTCAACAGCCTAGGAACAAAACTATGAAACCAGAGTCATGTATAGTAAGAAAATGTTTAAATGTATGCCTGAGCTCCTGTGTCAATTTTATTGCAAACAAAACTGAAATCCCAATATACTAGTTGAAAAAGTTAAATGAAATGGATTTTCACCTAGTCACAAAAATCTGAGTTTCCTTAGTCCCAGTTCCCTTGTTTTGAAAACCCTTCTAGCATATATGTAAGCAAATGATTAAATAACAACATAGATAAAATAATGTTCCCTGCTAAGGTCATGTGTGGTATATATATTTCTGTATCATAATTTATTCAACTCATTTCTTCTCCTATAAATCATCGTATAGTTTGGAGCAGATAAGTCTGATCGGATTTATAATGACTTGCCTGATATGGACAAAATCGCAAATGTTCTCCAGGACTATCTTGATGACTATAACCTTACAAATCCCAAAGAAGTGAAGTTGGTGTTCTTCCAGGATGCGATAGAACACGTTACCAGGTAGAGTGGTAAAAGGTGCCCATAAGACACCATTCTAATTTGTTTTGTATTAAAATGTAAGGGTTAAACTGTGCAGAATTCTTTACATAGATAGTAAATGGACAAATGTCTATAACAAATCCTGGTATAATTTAAGTTAGTTTTGAAATATTTTACATATATATGTATGAACTTTCTATGGAATCCCCAAGGTTGTTATTTTTTGCTAAACTTTAATAGATTGGTTTTTGTTTTAGATATCATGGATCATTACAAAAAGGGGTCTAATAAGGTTCACAGAGGTACAAGTACAGTATAACAAGTCTGATTACATGCATGCCTAAAGAAAGAGGCGTTCAAGGTTATAGAAAAAACAAGTTAATGCAGGGATGACACTCGGTTGGCCGCCAGCCTTCCACACTGGGGCAGGCCCTCTGAGAAGCCACATCTGTCCAGTTGAAATAGCTCTTTCTCTGCTTTGCTTCCTGCAGAATTGCCCGCATGATTCGTCAGGAGAGAGGCAACGCCCTGCTTGTCGGAGTAGGAGGCACCGGAAAGCAGTCTCTCACAAGACTTGCGGCTCACATATGTGGTTACAAATGTTTACAGATTGAACTGAGTCGGGGATATAATTATGAGAGTTTTCATGAAGACCTGAGGAAGTTGTACAAACTGGCTGGTGTAGAAGACAAGAACATGGTTTTCCTCTTCACAGACACACAGGTGCCTATTTCAGTATCCAAAGTATCAGAACAGGAAAGGGTTACAATCACGTATGTGCCCGGGTAGTTTTATGATGCAGCTCAGGGACTTGTTCCCTCAGATAACAAGTGTCTTGGCTCTTGTAAAAGACTTTTATAGCACATTTTTTTATTTCTTTTACCAACTATTATTTCCCCCTTTAAATTCTAAGTAAGTAAATATCATCAGAAGTTAAGGGAGTGAGACTATTTCTGTAGAGGTAGATATAAGAAAGGAATTCCTTAAGTGAAATCAATTAGGGAAGTAGGCTTTTCTCAAGAAAAGGAAAAAATAACAGCTATGTGTTTGGGTTAAATTAACTTAAAAATTAAAATAGGATTTACATCTGTCTACAACAACCATTTTCACTGATTTAAATTTATGTTATAGTAGAGAATTTTCTACATTCATTACACTTGCATATCTTAACATTAGGAGTGGGGCGGGGTAGGGGGAACCTTTATAGAAATTAGCCAGGGAATACATAAGAAAGCTATAATAGATCTGATGCATAAATATTTTAAAGTTCATTTTACTTTTTAAAACACATATAAATGGGATTAAGTCCATTCATAAAATGGGGAAAAATTTTTAACATCTGTGACATGCAGTAAGTTCATATCTGAGTATGTAAATATTGTTTACAAATGAGAAACACCCATAGTCAAATGTGTGCCCCTCCCTGGCTCTGACCTCCGCCAAGGCCTGCCCTGGCTCCTAGCCACAGGACTTGGAGGCACGGCTGAGGACCCAAGTACCCCTTGCCGCCAGGGCAGACCCCCGGCAGTGCTGACCGAGATACACATAATTGTTGACACTGTGGGCCCCAGTGACCTGAGCCAGAGGCATAACACTACCACCCAGACCCCGTGCTATCAAACACCTCTACCCTTGCCCTCCTGTGCTGTACCACCAGCCAGGGGTCATAGCAAACCCCAGGGTGCCCCTAACCACAGGTGAAAGCCTTCCCTCACCAAAGTTAGCCCGTGAAGTCTGGAAGAGGTGACCGCTTCCTCGAATGTGCAGACACCTAAGTAGGGCTACAGAGTTCATGAAGAATCAGGGAAACATGACTCCACCGAAGGAATACAGTAAGCCTCCCATGACTGACCCCAAAGAAATGGAGATCCACAAATTTCCCCACAAATAATTCGAAATAGTTGTCCTAAAGATGCTAAGAGAGCTACATGAGAATGCAGATGAACAATCTAACAATATCAGGAGAATAACATCAGAACAAAATTATGGAGTGGGGACATCACCAAGATGGTGGCATATATAGGATGTTCCCAATTTTACTCCATCCCCCCCTCCCCCCAAATAACTATCAACTATTCACGGACAAGATACCACCGAGAAAACCTAGAATGAGGGGCAGAGGCTGAATCACCACCCTGGGCACCACAGAGATGAGGACGGACTGCATTAAAAGGTAACGGAGCGGCTACGTGCTGGTGCAGCGTCACACGAGGAGGTCTCCCCTGAGCCTACAGCTCCTCCAGTGAGACAAGAGAGCCCAGGTGAAATGCCAGGGTATGCTGCCTTGTGGAGCGCTTCTTGGGAAGTTCACTGCAGTCTCACATCATGGGGACAGGGGGGGAATCTGCAGGCCTTTACCACTGAGTGGTTGGGGGACTCACAACCATCAGCACTTGGAACTTGGCAGACCGCGTTCCTACCTGCAGCGCCCAAGTAGTCATTTCAAGCAGCAGCTTTGCTCATCTGCGAAGCCAAGGCAGGGAGGGGTACAGTCTTGCCAGAGAACCGAGCAGGGGCACAGGTCTGTCTGAGTGGAGGTTCTCAAACAAAAAGCCTTTCCATCTCTGGAACCTGGTCTGCCTCCCTACCCTGCCCAGGCAGAGGAGCTGAGCCATAGCCCTGCCCACTGCGGGGGGCAGCTCTCC